AAAGAAATAATCAAAGTGGAGAAACAATGAAGTGCACGGGTGGGCCTGGGTAGGACTTCGGGCCGTTCCCCTGGGTGAATTTCGGTCATTTCTGTGAAGTGCATTTTGTGCGTAGAAGTTGAAAGAGCACAAACACAGCTCGAGTCAAAATAACATTGTGGCCTCTTCAGGGTCCCAAAATGAGTGTGGACATAACATTTATTTTCATTTCTAATACACAGTGTTGTTAAAATTGACCTCAGAATTTGCTTTCTGGAAACTGTTGCCATACGATACCAACCCGTGCCCGTCCGCTGGGGAGCCAGGAGCAGCGTTGGGATAAAATCTGACATTACTTCTAAGGAAATACGTTTAAAAAGTGAAGAATATGCAAGTTCCCTGAGCTTTATTAGGATTATTCCACTATAATCACTGGCTGATAAGCTTTCTGTCTTTAAATATAAATTAGTAAGATTATAAATAGAGTGTATGTGCCCTGGTGAGACCGCATCTGGAATATTGCGTCCAGTTCTGGGCCCCTCAGTTCAAGAAGGACAGGAACTGCTGGAGAGAGTCCAGCGTAGGGCTACAAAGATGATGGAGGGAGTGGAGCATCTCCCTTCTGAGGAGCGGCTGAGGGAGCTGGGGCTCTTTAGTTTGCATAAGAGGAGACTGAGGGGAGACCTCATTCATGGTTAGAAATATTGAAAGGGTGAGTGTCACGAGGATGGAGCCAGGCTCTTCTCGGTGACAAACAATGATAGGACAAGGGGTAACGGACACAAACTGGAACACAGGAGGTTCCACTTCAATCTGAGAAGAAACTTCTTCTCAGTGAGGGTGACAGAGCCCTGGCCCAGGCTGCCCAGAGAGGTTGTGGAGTCTCCTTCTCTGCAGACATTCAAAACCCGCCTGGACGCCTTCCTGTGTAACCTCATCTGGGTGTTCCTGCTCCGGCAGGGGGATTGGACTGGATGAGCTTTGGAGGTCCCTTCCAGTCCCTAAGGCTCTGGGATTCTGTGATGTGTAATATGGGACACCTGGCACGTTGGGAATTTTTCTCAGTGTTGATCTTAGCGTGTATTCGGTTCTTTGTGTGCTTGAATATTCGTTTCTGGACTAGAACACACTCGTACCACACCATCTTGTGGTTACATCTGGCTTCTCTGCTGTCTCTAACCTGGTTTTTGGGTTTATTTTTTCACCAGGTAGCTTTGCTGTCTGGGGAGGTTTGTTCTCCATGATCGACTGCAGCATGGTCAGGATGAGAGGGAAGGAGGATCCCTGGAATTCAATCACCAGCGGAGCCCTGACCGGAGCCATATTGGCTGCCAGAAGTGAGAAACTGAGTGCTGGGGAGGATGTTAATTAAAAACCCCATTGTTACAGTGATTCCCAAATTGGAATTTACTTTCTCAGAGAAATGGAAAGATTATCTGAAACTTTTTGTCCTGTGCTTGTGAAAGTAATAATTCTGCTCTCACTCGGTACCCGCGTGCCCTTGTTTCCTTGAGGAGGAGGGGAGGGAGTTGCCTGGTAATTATCCTTTCATTGGTGATGCTAATGAGCTTAATGGATGCAAAATTACTGCTGCTGAGCCTTGATGATAGGAGACTCAAGAAAAAGAGCTGTTGTAAGCAAAGTATTGCACTAAAGAAGTAAGAAGTGTTGGTTTGTGCTTTTTCTTTTTAGATGGACCTGTTGCCATGGTGGGGTCCGCTGCCATGGGAGGAATTCTCCTGGCTTTAATCGAAGGCGCGGGTATTCTGCTGACAAGATTTGCTTCCACACAGTTTCCAAACGGTGAGGACTGGGGCACTGCTGGGATTTTGTAGCGTGGTCTTTGCCAACGCACCTCTTCCAGCCCTCGGTCTGGTCACAGAGTAAGCCTGCTCTGCTGGTTGCCACTTTTTAAGGCTGTAGAACAACAAGGAGGAACCACACGTTGCTGATGAGATGGGAGCATCCTCAGCTCCTTCCCACTGGGGGCTGAAAGCAGGGATGTCCCTGCTGTCCCTGTCTTGTGCCCTGTCCCCTGGCGTAGCCACACGAGCCGTCTGTGTGCAGCCACTGTAGTCAGTGCGGGTGACACAACAGCTTTGGGGGAGCAGCGCACAGCGAGTTGTGCTGGCTGTGGGGGTGTGTGGGCAGCCCTGGCTTAAATGAGGTGACAAAAAGACTTCAAAGAGAGGTGATGGCAACAGTATTGGTTTTTTTCTTCTAAACTGCTTCAAAAACTAGATCCCCTTTTCTTTTTTTCCTACCTAAAATGCAAGCTGAGGTTCCAGTTGGCTGAGCTGATAACCATTTCTGTCAATACTTGCCTGTGCAAAATGCTGAATACCTCTGTCACCTCTCCTTGTCTTGGGAGGAATACAGACAAAACGAGTGGTGCTGAAAGGATCAGTAGCAAGCCACTGATTCCTGCGAGGTTTCCTCTCTCGGGTTTGTTCGCTGACGTTCTTTGTTCAACCTGAATTGCAACAATTTCTGTCCTTAATACAGAGACATTTTACAGTTAATCTGCTGTAGAGAAAAAGGGCATCGTCTATCCGTTGCAGTTTATTTTCTCTAAAATTGGCATACAGTAAACGTATTGCTTCCCTCCAGCAGAACGTCAGTAAGAGGAGCCGGGAAGCTGACTCCACACTGGTCTGTTCCGTGTCACTGGCTTGCTTTATTGTCGGGCAAGTTACGGTGCGTAAACCTCTACAGAGCGCTTCAGTTCAACTGAAGGGCAGTCAGGCCGTGGTTCCCTCACTGCTCTGATTCGTTTCCGTTAGTAAAGGAGATGAAAATACCATCCTTATTTGGCTCCTAGCTCCTTTAGGTGGCTGAAAATGGTTCCCTCACTGCTCTGATCCGTTTCCCTGGTAGTAAAGGAGATAAAAATACCATCCTTACTGGCCTGAGGCTTTCATCAATGCATAAAACTTCTTTAAATGAAAAAAACCAATCAAATGTAAAGTGTTGTTACTGACTTAACATTAATTTTAGAGGGGATTTCTATGAAAAACGCCGTGGATGTGTTTCATGTTGTCGATAGGAAGGATCTCTTGCCTTTTGGCGTTTCTTATTTGCCTCTTTCCTCTTGCCTTGTTCGCAGGCCCTCAGTTTTCAGACGACCCCTCCCAGTTGCAGCCCTCTCCGTTTGGTGACTACAGGCAATACCAGTGATCGTCGCCGTTCTCCTGGGCCACGCTGTACCCAAGCTGTAATTTCCAAAGCCGGAGGGCCGAGACGCGGTATGTCTTTACACCAGTGGTAATCTCTCACACAAACCGTGCCGAGAGGACCTCCAGCACTTCTCAGTGTCAGGCTGCGCAGGAGAACTTTTAGAAGATGACAAAAATCTATTTATTCGTGCTAGATTCCATTGCTGTAATGTTAATACGTATCTGAGAGAATACACGGAGATTTAAGACAAGGACCAAACGGAGTCTTGTCATCCTTTGGACACGGACTGAAGTCTCTGGAGTCTTCTCTGGGACGCGGCATTGCCCGCCTGCAGTGCCCACAGCTGGAATTTAGCCTCCTCCCCAGTGGATTTAGGTCGCCACACGCATTGCAGCTTAAGGGAAACGATTCATCAGCGCGCCGATTCACCTTCCTAAAGTGAATGTTACTAGGAAAATGTGCAAGCCAGTGCAAATCCCCTCCAGCAATCTATATTTCGCTGCTGTGTGCTGTTTTCTGTGCTACCACCGTGCAGTTTAAGTTCTTTGGCTAAAGCAGAATCTGCCCGTGGTTGATCTGTGGGCCGTGGCCTCCCCCTCTGCCTTCCCCCAAACCTGCCAGGCTTCGAGCCCCTTACAGCAAGAGGTGGCAGCAAACCCGTTGACAGCAGGCTCGAAAGGGAGCAGCACAGGCAGTTTTCCCTCCTAGAGCTGCAGGAGAACACGTGTAAGAGCCCAGAAAATAAAACCCATGGGGCTAGGGGGTGAAACACTGCACCCCCAGGCCTGCTGCCAACGCAGCCTCTTCACCTCAGATTCCCATCCTGAGCACCGTTAAAACATCTGCTCCATGGTTTTGTTTTGAGACTCCAGTTGTGGAGGCTTGGTCTCTCTTGGCAGCAGTTAAAAGTCGCATCCAGGGAGGTTTTCTGCTGTTAATGCTATTGCTCGCTGGCAGCTCCTGAATGAATATTCATATTCAAAAAGATCTGAGTAACATCTGAGCTGCTTCGTGGCTTTTCCTGTGCCCAGGAAGGAGCACTGGGATCTCTGCACTGGGACCAGGCAGACCTGTGTGGTAGGAGAGGATGCAAATCGGGCAGAAAGGCAATGGGTGACGGGTGGGTGAATGATTGTACGAAGTGTGCACACACATCCTGACCATCTCCTGTGTCCTGTCATCCTGTAAAAGTGACAGTTTCCTGTTGCCACCCCCTGCCTGTCCTAGGACTGCTCCAGGGCTGCCAGGTCCCTGGTACCTTGCTGTTTCGTGTCATTGCTGCTGGTGTGTAGTTCTCCAAACCCTGGAGCACAAAGCACTCTGTGTGTGTGTGTAAGGGCTCATCTTGCTTTGCTGCTTACCTGGTTCCTCAGGTGAATTGTCCAGACAGTTTTCTTGATTCGTGTTCCTCAGCTGCGCGCTCTCCTGTTCCTGGTTCAGACCCCAGCTGCAAAGCGAGCATCTCTCTGGTCTTTGAGTGAGAATTACACTCAGCTCTCATCAGCTGTGGAGCCTCCCCTGCATGTCCAGGTCTCTGTTCATCACCAGGTGTTTCCCTGTACTCTGTACAGGATTAGAGCACTTGGGTGTTGTTCAAATCTGTGTGCAGCTCCTCTGGCCCAGCTCTTGCATCACTGAGCTGTCCCTGGGGTTTGCTTGGAGCAGAGAGAGACCTCTGCCAAGTCATCTCCTGGTCCCACAGCACCCGGGTGACCTCTCCTGTGGCTGGGCTGGGACATGGGGCTGTGCAGGACCTGCTGAGGTTGAGCTGCAGAGGGGGAACCTGAAGCTCCAGTCAGGCCCTGCCTCTGTGGTCCCCAAAGCTGTGTCCAAACAGCTCAAAAAGCTCATGACCCTTCACAGCAGTAGGGACAGCAGGGGCAAGTGTTATGGGCTGTGGTGGCCCTGCCAGCCACTCCTCCCTCACCCCTCAGTGAGGTACCAACCTTAGGCTGCTTGAGCTGAGCTTTATTCGGCTCAGCCCTTCCCTTTAATCCCCCTTGGCTGTGCTGGGCGGTCACTCACTTCTACACAAGGAGAAACTTCTGTTTTGGGAGTCATCCCTCCCTCCCCACACCCCAACATCTTTCTTGACTGGTGAGAACCCTTGGCCATGCTCAGAGAGCTCCTCCTCGCCCTCACTGATCCCAGGGGGAAGGGGAGGTGTTTCCTCCCCTCTCATCTCCACAACACCCAAGAGTTTCCTGAGTTTTATTTCAGCCTTCGGAGCTGTCCTCGCTGCCAGGACCCCACAGGTCCCACTGCACCCCATGGGAGCACTTGCTCTCCCCAGAAGCAGCCCAGACCCTGAGTAACACCCCGCAAAAAACCAAGACGGAGGCCACCAGCGTGACACTGAACTATCGACCTGTTTATTTCAATCAGCTACAGCAGCTCTACATTCCCCTACCGCCCTGTCCTTCCGTCACAACCACAGACAGCGAGGGAGCCGAGTACACTGCGGTGGCAGCAAGTCTCTTTTAAAGCTTAGTATTAAATATTAAATATTCTCTCATTTCTGTTTACATTACTTTGTCAAGGAAAAACAAACAAACAAACAGACAGACAATTAAAACTTAAGTTACGTGAATCTGTGCCCGTGCCCTGGGCGGCAGCACCGGGAGCCGCACACTGGCTCTGCTGCGAGGGATTTGCCAAAATCTGGGGCCCTGGGCCCGGTAGTGTGTGACTCTGCTAGGAAAGGGGGTGCTCGGCTGTGCCAGGAGCGGGGCACCCGCACCCTTGGTTTTTGGAAAGGGCGGACGGCCCCGGTGCAGCTAAAACCACGTGTGGAGGAGGCGAGAGCGCGGCAGGCCCGGGAGCGCGGCAGGCCCGGCTGCTGGGGCCAGCGTTGCCTCCCCTCAGCCCCAGCCACGTGTGTGGGGATGGGGGTGAGGATTTGGTCAACAACTTTGCTAAGGAATTACTCTGTTGGTTTTTTTTTTTCCTCCTCCTTAAAAAAAAAAAAAAAAGACAAAACCAAAACTACAACCCCAAACGGTTTTGAGTCTTCCTTTGATTTTAGCAAAGACAAGAGTTTAAAAAGCACTTAGGAAGCTTGTACTAAAACCAGGCGCTCTCAGAGGAGAGAGTCGTCTGTGCACCCCCCTTCCAGTCCGTAGCGGAACTCCTGCAGGTTGGACACCCCGTAGAAGTGGACGAAGGCCGCGGCCACCACGAGCACGTGGAAGATCTGATGGGACTGAAACTGCGGGGAAGCGAAAATGCCCTTTAGACCTGACCACAGGGGACAACGCAACACCAGGAACAACTCCTCCTCCTCGCTGCTCCCACACCATCCTAGGAGCATCCTTCAAGCTCCACTTTTCCCCCCCTCATTGCTCCCAAGCAGCATTTTCCACCCTGTACTTCACCACCCTCGATCCCCCCTCCCCAGCCCCGCAGGACCCCGGTGCCCACCTCATCCCCACACTCACCCAGATGTCGAATTTGCCTGGGAAGAAGCGCTCGGGGATGCGGGCGGCGTACAGCCCCGCGCCCGTGATGTACATCACGGCCATGAGGAAGAACCAGCCCATCTGGCCCACGGTGGTGGCTTTCACGAAGCCCTCGGCGATGGTAAAGTGCATGGTGGGCACCACGCCGCTCAGCCCCAGCCCCAGAAAGACGCCTGCAGCGGAGAGGAGAGATCAGCAAACCGGGGCGCAGCGTGGATGGGGTGTTCATCCTTCACAAACCGAGGCATCGACAGCTCCATGTCCCAGTCAAAACCAGTGCTGACCCCCAGTGCTTGACTGGGCAGAGCTCACTCAGGGTTTTTGGCAGTTCCTGCTCCTAGCTATGGGCATGGCCCTTTTGGGGGGTGCCAGCCCTTCAAGCTCTTTGCCTCTCATTTTTTCACTGAAGCTCCTTGGAGCTCGAGGGGAAGGTGTTAATTAGCAGTGCTGAAATGTTCAGCTCCTGTATCTAATTAATTTGGCAGAGAGCAAACGGCAGTGCAGCGAGATGCCAGCACAGAGAGGCTGTGGTGTGTGCTCACAGCAGGACCTCGCTTCTCACCAGAGCAGGACAGCAGCCAGGAGCCAGGATTGCTGCCAGGGGGGGCAGTGGGGGTGGCAGTGCCCCCCTGTCCCCTGTCGAGGGGGCCTCGTGGGTGACACGAGCTCAGCACCAGCTCACGCCGGGCAGCGAGGATGCCGCTACCAGAGAGGTTTTGCTGCAGGAGCCCCCTCGGGAGGTGGGGGTGGGCAGAGCTGTTTCTCCACACTCGGTGAGGCCGATTTTCATCTGCAGAGGCTGCAGCAGGGGCAAGGCCCGGTGTGCATGGGGAGCCTGCAGGAGGGCTGGTACGTGCCAGTGTGTAACGGGCAGGACCCTCCTCTTCCTCTCCCTGAGCTGCCAAACTCCTTCCCAAGGCGGCAGCTTCACGGCACAGCCCCAGGCCATCCAACCACCACCGTTGGGGCTACTTTTAAGTGCTGTCTGCTCCAAACCTCAGGTTTATCGAGGGCTGGTGGAGCTCATGCCCTGCTCAGTGGAGGATTTATAAGATCTGAAGAGAAACCAGAGGATCTCAGACCCCAGGATCTCAAGCAGAGGAAGGAAACTGCTCCTTGCCCACAGCTGCTGCATAGTGGTGCTCTGCAGGGATCCATTCTGCAGGTGCTGAGAGGAACAAACAGGAAGAGCCATCCCACAACAGGATCTTCCCAAAGTGCCTCCTAGGGCTGAGGACTCAGGGTGACTCCTACCTGCTCTTGTCTGCCTGTGCTTGGGGGTGGCGAAGCGGTCCCACTGCGCGACGATGATGGCAGAGATGCCCAGGACGCAGACGATGGAGAGGTAGATGAGTCGTGGCTGCGGGGAGCAGTAGAACGAGTAATAGAGCCACGGGACAAAGCTCCCCATGATCAGCAGTGCAATTCCTGAATAATCCAACCTGCGGCCAAGGGACAATGACAGAGAGTTACAGCTGGGCCCCAAAATCCACCTCCTCCCTTCTTGGTAACGGTGTTGGTGCCCTACCACCCATTCACGCCCCAGTGCAGTCACTGCGGGTGATGCTGCGTGACCCGAGGGGAGAAGGGGCTGTGCTCGGGTCTCATCGACTAAAAAGGGCCTGGGAATCTGGGGATGTCAGCAGCACAGAGGATGAACAGGAGCCGCTGGATGTGAAAGGGGCCGCGCACTCAAACCACCACATCAGGATGCGGGGGGATGAGTCCTTGCGTGTATGGATTTGAGCATTATCCTCCATCGCAAAGTGCTTTCGATCGATCGATCCAGGAACCGTTTCACCCCCAAAACGCAGCCGCTGGCATCACCCCCACCCCTGCGGCCGTGGCAAGCGCCTTCCCCCGTACACAAGGACATCTCCGCCGAGGGCACGGCCGCGGGGTTTGTTCTGCAGCCGCGGGCCTGCAGCGTCTCCGGGGTTTGCGCAAAGGAGCTGGGCGGGATTTCCCAGCAAGCAGCAGCCGAGCAATTGCCTTTGAGAGCCTTGAGAGTGCAGGATCTGGTTTGGAAACCTTGGTGCTGCCCTGGTGTGAGCTTAGCACCAAGAGCAGCCTGTGCACAGACCTCGGTGAGAGGCACCGGCTACAGCCCAGCCCTTCCCCTTCACTGAGAATCCCATTTGTTTGGTTTCAATCCAAACCAGAGTTTTTGAAGGCATCCAGTGAAGTGGAAACTCCCAAACCGAGACCCCTCCTAGCGCAAAGGCTGCGCCCTCAGGAGCTGCGCGTTCCCAGGGTCCCTATCAGCCACCTGAGCTGGTGAATTTAAGATGCCCAGGCACAGGGCAGAGCCCTCCACGACCCAGCTGTGGTTCCCTCTTGGCTCCACACTGGATTTGATGAACGCTCCCTTCCCCCACGGATAAAACGTTTGGGGAAGCAGTGTTTTCCCCAGTGGGGAGAACTCAAAACCTCCTCCGGGACCACGCAACCGCGCTTGTGCTGACTCACTTCGAAAACGTCCGCGAGACCTTCTCCGAGTGACAGTAGACGGTGTGGAAAAGCCAGGAGAAGCTGAGGCACAGCACCGCTCCCAGGAAGAACATCCCGAACACCACCTTCTCCTGGAGAGGAGCCATGAAATACATGTTGGGCCGCAGCATGGTCAGGATCCCCAAGCACAGGAACAAGACGAAACCTGCAGGGAGGACACGGAGTGGGCAGTGAGAGAGAGAGAGAATGAATCCAGTGAAGAGCCAGGAGAAACGCGGCCGTGGCTGTGCTCCGCGGGGCAGGCTCTGGCCAAATCCTGCTCACAGCATGCCTGGAGGTGCTCAGTTGCCTGGAGGTTGTCAGAGCCCTTAACCGGTCCCTGCGTTTCAGAGGGAAGCGCTCTGAGGTTTTCCAGTCTCCCCCAGCACACATTTCCCCTCCCGGCTCTTGTGGAGCATCAGCAAAGCCACAAACGGTCACTGAGAGCCCTGGGGCCCCGCTGTGAGGAAGTCCCTGCTCCCCCTCCACCCATGGGGCTCCGGAAGCTCTTGGGAAGACCAAGCCCAAGCTGCCTGCACACGCAGCACCAGGCAGGGCCGAGATCTGCACGGAGAGGACCCCAGCACCAAGCAAGTCCTGGCTGTAAAAGGTCTCTCTGTGCACGGAGGCCAAGCAGTTTTGGTAGCCCCAGGGCTACCAAAGGCCTTCGGTTACCTAACAAGTGTGTCCAGATGTTGCCGGTCTCGGTGTGTATTCGGAAGATGCTCTTGAAGCAGGCTCGGAAGGACGGCATGGGCGGGCGGTGTCCGTGCAGGAGGTAATCGTTGTCCTTCAGCCAGTCGGGCAGCACGTCGTACGGGATCACGCGCCAGCGCCCTTCCCACACCTGCAACACAGCGAGCGGTGCTGGGCACCCCCAGAGCATCCAGCCCCCACTTTTGCACACCCCAGGAGCATCAAGTCACCCCCTGAACCAGCCCAGCAAGAGGCTTCGCAACAACCAGGGCTGAAAAGGCCCCGTGCGGCTCCTTGGGGAGAGGAAGTTCAGCTTTTGCAACATCAGCAGCCAGTGGGACCCCTTAAACCACCCACACCCTGCAGAGTGCTCCCCACGCGTCCCCCCCGGTGGCAGAGGTGATTGGAACCCTCGGGTTTAACCCTTCTGCACCCAAAGCAACCATTCCCTGCAGCAGGAGAGCCCTGTTTTGATCCAGGAAGAGGGAGCCCTGGCTGGCAACGCTTGGGCTGGCCCTCAGCTGATGCCACTGCTTATCAAACCACCACAACCACGACGACAGGCGCTGCGTGAAACCAGCAACGGTGCTGGGTGCTCCCAGTCCCCGTTAGAGGAACACGGGGACACCAGAACTGCTCCCCAGGTCACTGCTCATCCTGGGCACAGCCTCCAGTGCTTCCCAGCCACCACCGTCCCCTTCCTGCACCGCTCCCAGGAGCTTTACCCAGGCACAGCAACGCGTCCCAGCCCCTGCCCACCATCCCGAGCCCCAGGCTTGGGGCATCTGGGGCTTGTTAATAGTCCAAAATCAGGACCTGGGGATTGCTACGGGCTCCTGTACCTTATACACAAACTCTTCCATCTTCTCCATGGCATGATGAGCCTGCAGAGGCAGAGTCAGCACACGAACCACCTCCTCCTCTTCCTCACGGGCCGCTGGGCACGGCGGGTCTTCAGTCTAGGGGGAGAAAGGCTGAGAGGAAGCCATTGCTGCCCAGGAAGGAGGAGCGGTGTGCAAGAAGCTGCGAGTCCCTTCCTAGGGCACCTGGGCCTTCATCCCTTCCCGAGGGGACGGGCAGGACCCGCCGGTCACCGCCACTTACGCAACGCTCCACTGACTTACCCACCCCGGGCAGGCTAATCCC